AATGAGCCGACCGAATGACAATATCCACAAGCGTAATGTAACTTGCCGTTCTTCCCGAGTAGCGCTCGACTACTGTTCATCGGAACCCGTTTGCAGTAAGATGGAACCAGATCAGTCAGAAGCTGTTCACCTCACGATATGCATTCTGCGCACGACAACTTCTTCCCAAAGTATTCATTGGGGTGGGGGGGGGGAGTATGTTGAATTTGCGCAGCACCCCGTAGGTGACGACGATCCCGCAATTGTACTGTGCTGTTTACGTTGGACATGTTGCAGATCTTCAGCATCCACGTTTGTGACAAAGAGGAAGACGGGGAAGAGTCAGGGAGTGCGGAGAGTGTTTTTTCAGGACTCGAGGATTCGGGGAGCGACAGTGAGGAGGAGGAGGAGGAGGAGGGTGGTGATGGCTCGGACAAGGATGAAGATGATGAAGTGGAGCAGGTAGCGTCGGTCGCCGTCCTCCCCATTGCATCTCCCGTGTCTATTCGTCACTTGTGTCGCGTGCCGACGTGCAGGGTGACTCCCGGGACGACGGGGGCTGCCAAAAGAAAGAAGAGTATGACCTGGACTCATCAGACGAAGAAGTGAGATATTTTCCCGATGCCTTCCAAAACACCACAAATGGTTCGCGGTCGTCACCATTGAGGTCGAAGCCGAGTGCGCTTTGTCTCGGGACGAAGGGCCGCCGAACCGCGTGCCAGAGCAGCGCGCGGCAGCGGGTCTCAAAGCGCTCCAGGAGAAGCGTTGACTAAGAGCTACTCTTGTCGGTCACGGGCAGGACATCAGGAACACCGTGGGCAACATTCCCATGGAGTGGTACAAAGACTTCCCTCACGTCGGCTACAATTTGGACGGAAAGAAGATCTACAAGCCCATCCGGAGCAAGGACGAGCTGGAGCAGTTCTTGGATAAAATGGAGAACCCCGACTACTGGTGAGACGCCGGCCTCGGCGCTTGGGAGCCGCGAGGAACGCTGACGTACGGCCCGCCCGCAGGAGGACGGTTCACGACAAGCGGACGGGAAGCGACATCGTGCTGTCTGACGAGCAGGTGGAGCTGGTGAAGCGCCTGCAGAGAGGCCAGTTCGGAGACGTCAACTTTGACGAGTTCCAGGTGAGGCGCCGTCCCGTCCCGTCCCGCCCCTTTGGGTTTGCCTCGCTGACGCGTGCCCCCGCGCCCCGCAGCCCTCGGTGGACTTCTTCACCAAAGACGTGATGCTTCATCCCGTCACCAACAGGCCCGCCGACAAGCGAAGCTTCATCCCGTCGCTCGTGGAGAAGGACAAGGTAAGCTCCGCTCGCGCTCGGAGACCCGTCCGGCGTCGTCACGCCGCCGCCCGCTCTCGGCCCTCAGGTCTCCAAGCTGGTCCACGCCATAAAGATGGGCTGGATCAAGCCTCGCCGCGCGCGGGACGACGGCGGGGGCCGCTACTACGACCTCTGGAGCAACGAGGACTCTTCTCTGGCCGCCCAACACAGGATGCACCTGCCCGCCCCCAAGATCCCCCTGCCCGGCCACCACGAGTCCTACAACCCTCCGCCGGAATACCTGTTCACCGAAGAGGAGGTACGTCCGGCCGGCCGGCGCTCCGGCCTCGCCGCGGGCTCGCGTCTCAACTGCGCCCCGCCTTGTCCGCAGCGCGCTCTGTGGGAGCAGCAGGACCCCGCCGACAGGAAATTGCCCTTCGTTCCCGTCAAGTTCTCCAGCCTCCGACGGGTTCCCGCCTTTCCTCGTTTCATCCACGAGAGATTTGAGCGCTGCCTGGACCTTTACCTGTGCCCCCGCCAGAGGAAGATGAGGGTAACGCCCGCCGCGCGCCTCGCCGGAAACGGCCGAGCCGCCCGCTAACGCTCTCGTCGTCTTTCCGCAAGGTCGACGTCGATCCGGAGGACCTCATTCCGAAGCTGCCGAAGCCCAAAGACCTGCGGCCCTTCCCCACCACGCAGTCGTTGGTACGCGAGCGCACGGACGCGACTCCGTTTGCGTCCGAGCGGGCGCGCTCCATTTCGACGCTTCTGTGAAGCGCGCGCGCGCACGCGGCCCGAGGTGAGGCGTGACCGGTGTGCCGACCTTGTGTTCAGGTTTATCGCGGTCACGGCGGCCTGGTTCGCTCCATCAGCGTTTCCCCATCAGGACAGTGGCTTGCGTCAGGTAGGTGGGAAAGGGGCGAGGAGCATCGTTGACATTTGCACCGTGCCGCTTCGTCGTCCGGGACTGAAGATTCCGACGGGGAACTTTTTGGGGGCGTCAAATCGATCGAAACGACGGGGAACATTTTCCAGCAAATCGACACGATGGAAAACGTTGCGTCAAGAAGATTTAGTTCAGCCTTCAGAGGCCGCTGGCTGCTGAGTTGGCAGCGCGGGCTCCCGAGCGTGTCACGTGACGTCGCCCCCCCGCCCCCGGTCCATGCGTTAACTTGGGCGGGACCAGCACCGGTGCCACGTGGGCGTGTCTATGCCAAGGGTCTAACGCTAGCACGAGCTGGAAGTCCGCATGCCGGTCTCTGTGGTTGTTCCACCACGGCGGCCTTGACCGGCGCCTCGGGCAATCGTGCGAGCAGCGGACTGCTTTCTTTGTTCCTTCAACTTTGACGGTCCCGAGTGGACGGTTCAATGCGGAGTCTTATCGGTCGTGGGCCCGTGCAAGTGTCCGGACTGGACTCCACCCGCTTGGTTTTTCTCGAGTGGCGAGCCGCGCCCGCGGCCAAGTGACTTTTTGTCGCGGCTCTTCTTCTTCTTCTTCTTTCAGGAAGCGACGATGGCTCGGTCCGCTTCTGGGAGGTCAGTTCCTCTCGCTGCGTCCAGGTGGTCCCAGTGGGCGGAGCCGTGAAGTGCGTGCGCTGGAACCCCAACCCGTGCGTGTGTCTGCTGGCCGTCGCCCTGTAAGGACACGCCCCCTCCGCCGCCGGCGCACGCCCCCTCGGCAAAACGGCTCTTTGAAGCCCGGGCGCGTCGGCTCTCTCCGCAGGGACTCCCTGGTGTTGATCGTGTCGCCGCCGCTGGCGGAGCGCCAGGTGCTCTTGTCCTCGGAACGGCTGCTCGCCGCTCACCGGGAGGCCGAGCCGGCGGAGAACGCGGGGCCGGCGGGCTGGAGCGACGCGGAAGGCGAGGAGCGCCGCCTGGGCTTGCGCCTGAAAATCCGCCATCCCAAAGTGCGACGCTCCGTCCGGTGAAGCGCAGCGGCGCCCTTTTGCGGGAATCCTTTTGACACGGCGGCTTCCCGCAGGCCGTCAAGCAGCTGGCGTGGCACGCCAAAGGGGACTACCTGGCCTCCGTCATGCCCGATCACTCCAGCCATCAGCAGGTGTTCGTCCACCAGCTGAGTACGAGGCGGAGCCAGAACCCCTTCCGGCGCAACAAAGGCCTGGTTCAGTGCGTGTCCTTCCACCCCGTCCGGCCCTACTTCTTCGTGGCCACGCAGCGCAACGTCCGCATTTACAACCTGGCCAAGCAGGAGATGACCAAGAAACTGCAGGCCAACTCCAAATGGATTTCCAGCATGGCCGTCCACCCCGGAGGTGAGCCGAGCCGCCTCCCGTCTCGCGTGCCGTGCCGTCGACACGATGGAGCCCGATCTCTCTCTCTCTCTCTCTCTCTCTCTCCCGCGCAGGCGATCACGTGATCTGCGGAAGCTACGACTGCCGACTCGGCTGGTTTGACCTGGACCTCTCCACCAAGCCTTACAAGATGCTTCGGTAGGTCGCGTGGGCGCGCGCGCGCCCCCTCTTCCCGGCTCGCTCTCATGGCGGCGCCGCCGCTTCCCGTCCGCAGGCACCATAAGAAAGCGGTGAGGGCCGTCGCCTACCACAGACTTTACCCGCTCTTCGCCTCGGCGTCCGACGACGGCTCCGTCATCGTCTGCCACGGGACCGTTTACAAGTAATCGCGCCCACGTTCGCTCGCGCAAAGATTCCAAAGATCCTAAAGCGGCCGTTCTTCTTCTTCCTTCAGTGACCTGCTGCAGAACCCGCTCATTGTTCCGGTGAAGGTTCTGAAAGGTCACATGGTCACTCACGAGCTGGGTGTACTGGATGTGACCTTTCACCCCACACAGCCTTGGGTCTTTTCATCCGGTGCGGATTCCACCGTCCGCCTCTTCACCTAGTGGCCCGCCCACCTGTCCGTCAGCGATTGGTGCGCCATATTGCTTTTCGAATAAATGTCTTTTTATGTGATTCAGATTCAGATTCAGAAAACTTTATTCATCCCCATGGGGTAATTGGACTTAACAGGCGTGGCTTTGTTTTCCCCCTTCGGAGGCTCCGTTTTCTCTTTTCCACTCGCGTCCATCCTTGCCCATCGCGGCGCAAATGCTCCCCGCTCAATCACAGCACCTTCGGTCATACGTTTGACACTCGGACGTATCGACGGCAGAAGAGAGAGCGGCGATGGTCAAAGTGTAGCGCTCAAAGAAATGATCGCCCAAGTACCCTCAAGTTTGATTTCACTTATGCGTCCGATTTCCCTCGGCTTAGGGTGCAGCGCTGTCATGGCCTGTAACGCTATTTTTGTCAATGCGTAGGGCTACTATGGTGCTGTATTTTCCCTGGTGCTCATTATGGCGTTACTTGGGGCACTCGTTTTTATTTGATTTTTTTTGATGATGATGATGATGGCTGAAGAACATCCGTGTCGTTTTGATTTCGTTCAAAAGTCGATGACGCGTCGCAGCTCGAAAACCAAGCCCTGACGGAAGAATGTTGGAACTGCCCGCGGATGTCCCGAAACCCGCTCACCCTCCTCCTTCCCTCCCGTGAACGTGCGCCGAAAATGACAACTCAAGCTTGAGATGGAAGGGGGATCAAAACAGCTTCCGCCAGACGACTCTTCAACTTAAAAGCCATTTCATCACCCGCATCTCCTCGGGAGGAAAATTACATTTGAAATTACGTCCAAGTACAAGTACGCACATATGTCGTTTTACATTGACAGCAATACAGACCTGTATTCGTTCACGTCCGGAATCATTGACAGGAGTCCTAGATTTTATGTTGAAAGAAAAAAAGTCAACGTTTGACGTCAGTGTTGTGTTGGTCCAAAATGACGGAAAGCAGAATCACGCCGGGGCGCGACGATTGCGCGTACAGCAGCTGCTACTGGTAAAGAACACATACACACACATCATCACGTTGGCGTTGTTCGCCTGCGTTTCATAAAGGGCCGCCGATATAATGTTTTCAAGTTTTTGGCCGTTGTTCTTCTCCACTGAACCGAGTGTGAGTCGGTCACCGTTCGTGACACTTGGGACGTGACGGATGGCTCTACACCGGGGTTGGGGGGTCTGGAACCGCCGCCAGGGATCCGTCCGCCCACAGTTGAGCCCCGCTAGCATTTTAGTTGATCTTCTAAAATCTCTTTGTAAATGGAATTGAAGCACGGGGAACGTGTTTGCGTTGCAAAATACGGAGGCCTGCGAGCTTTCGGTGTAGGTACCGGTGCGGTGAGATGTTTGTCGGGATCACGATTTGATTCTTGCTCGTCTTTCTTCGTTTTCACCCGCTTGTGGCGTGCGCACCGTAGAAGGTGACGAGAGATTTGGCGGTCTCTTTTCTGGTCGTTTTTGTGCGCGGTAAACAAGGTCGGATTGACCAAATTCGTCGCGCAAGTTTATTTTCCCACGGACCCGCGTGCACCGCCAAACAGCAAATGGCCGATGAAACGGGACGCCGTGCTTCGATCGCCGACACTTTTGGATAGCCGGAGTAAAGAATAAGGGAAGGCGTCATTCAGGCTACATTGACGCCATTTCAACAGATTGTGAGGACTGGATCTTTGAACGAGGTCGACGTTCTCGCGAGAAGTTGGATGAGCGACCGGAAGTTAGCCGGCCTCCGTAGCTCAAAGGCGGAAATGCCGCGTGCCTTGAGTCAGACCAGGACTTTCTCAGCCACACCGCGTACTGTACTTATCAAGCCCCAGGAGAGGAACAAAACCCGGCGAAATCCTCATCTCTACTTTTCAAAGACGCTTGATGAAGACGCAACGGACTAATTTGGCCGGTGCGCCAATGTGAACCTTTTCTTTCTTGTCATTTTGTTTGCAGTGAAGAAAATGTGTGGAAGCTTTGCGAATCGGTCCGTACGGAGAGAAGCGCGCCTCTCCAAGAACTCTTTGTGGTGTTCATCTCGAACGACAACAGAACGGTGAGCTCACCGGCCGGCCGACACGTCGGTGAAAGTCTTTTTGTCTTCCCAATTCAGTCACTGGGCATCTTTTGCCATCAGGTTCCTCTGTGGAAACAGAAGTCGGCAAGCGGAGAGCAGCCCGTGATTTGGGTAGGACCGTGCCAGGCGACCCGACGTTAGTTCGGACCCGGTCCGCACGCTCGGGCGGGCCGCGGTCACCGGTGTCAGCTGTGCCGGCGTGACGTCTGTGCAGGATTATCACGTGGTTCTACTTCACGTCCCGGCTGGGTCCGAGGCCGCCGTTTACGACCTGGACTCTGTCCTGCCGTTTCCCTGCCCCCTGAAGCTTTACGCTACGCGTGCCCTGCGCAGCGACCGCGGCGTCCGGCCTGCGTACCACAGGTAGCGACGGCCGCGTAAACTTGCAAGGCGCCTCCATTTAGCGGTTGAATTTGTCCCAGGAGCCGGCTCAAAACTCAAATGACTCGTTATAACGGATCCATTTTCACTCACTGAGCTGAGTTGAAGCGCTATCGTGCCAGCCCGCCCGAATCCCAAAACCCCATTTTTTTTTCTTGCACGTTTTGGATGAGAAAAAATGAGCACAGACAAACCTCTTAAGAGAGAAGCAACCCAAACTGCATCTGCCACTGCCCCCCCCCCCACCCCAAAAAATGCCAGAGCGACGATTTGTAACTGTAAAAAGTGGCTTGTTTTGGCACTCAAACGTGTCGGGAAAGCCGGACACGCTTCTGACTTCTGGCAGGAACGCTCCTTGACACTGTCAATGTCGCGCAGGAAGTTGCGAGTGGTCCCTGCCGACTGCTTCCTGTCGAACTTTGCCTCGGACCGTTCACACATGAAGAACGCTGATGGGTCCTGGAAGGTGCCCCCCCCGCCCTACCCCCCAATCTCCACCGCAGGTCAAAGTTCATGTGTAGAAGACGTGCGCCGAGCCGGCCGGCGACCTCTCGGTGACCTCTGTTGTCAACTTTTTCTTCCCCAGACTCTCACATGAACCTGGATGACTTCATCACCATGGAGCCCTCCCGCGGATGGGGCCGCATTTTTACTTTGGACCACTTCCTGCGGCTCTACGCCAAAGACGTGACCTCGCCGCCGTTCTCGTAGTATGCGTGCGTGTCTGTCTTTGAATGCTATTGCTAAATGTTACTTGACATATTTACCACAATAAAAGTCATCTGTTTCACATTCTTCACTTGACGTGCAACATCGCATTACTTGGCCGTCAGATAGACAAAGTTCAAACAAACAGCCAAGAGCAGAGGTGAGATGAAATCGAATCCGAACCACCAAAAAAATGGAAGCAAAATATGAAATGTATGGAAGCGTATTGCCGTGAGACCCGAAAAAAACCAAAAAAAGTACAACGACAGTACTATCATGATCAATGTCATGTTTTAATGTGCGAAATTTGGCAAAACAAAACAAAGTCCTGACTTCCGGTTCCAGTGCAGGTACGTGTGTCTTTTTTCCATGCATGCATGCATGCATCCATTTTGCCATTCGCTTCTCCTCACAAAGGTCGCGGGGCGTGCCGGAGCCTATCCCAGCTGTCTTGGGGCAGTACGCGGGGGACACCCTGACCCGGTTGCCAGCACAATCGCAGGGCACACGTCGATGAACAACCGTCCGCGCTCGCGCTCGCACGAGGGACAATTGAGCGTTCCATTGACCTGCCATGCGTGTTTTGGGAATGTGGGAGGGAACCGGAGTACCCGGAGAAAATCCACGCAGCCACGGGGAGCTCATGCAAACTCCACTCAGGAACGCAGATATGGGCGGGGGTCTTTTTTGATGGAAATGCCGGTAGGTTGAAACACTGGTTGAAATTCATTTTTACCATAACAGCAATACGCTTCCGTGTACATACGCGCAGTTCCACTACTACGTATATAAAAATGTTCGCATGAAGGGAGTAAAAAAAAAAAAAAATTCGATGAAAATAGAACCCTTTTTTTTTTGTTTGTTTCTCGGGCTTGTCGTATGTTGACGTCACGTTGGAGGCGCGGCTTAGTTGCGGTCAAACAAACTGCAGCTGCCGCGGGAGGCGCTTTCGCGACGCTCGCCGCTTTTCCGACGAAGCGCCCGCCCGGGTCGCGTCGCGTCGCACCTCCGCGTCGACGAGGACGAGCGGGGCCGCTTTGCGCCCGAGCCGCGTCAACATTCGGGAGCTTTGTCCGCAAACGTCGTCGCTAGCGGGCGCTTTGGCCGGCGAGCTAGCCGGCCTAGCATGAGTCGCTCGCTCGCTCGCTCGCTCCTCTCGGGACGCGCCGTCCCAAACGTTCCGCTCGGCGACGAACCGCCGGCGCCGCGCCGCGCCCGCTCCGACCCCCTTCGACGTCGTCTGAGAGAAACGATGGAGCGAGCCGCTTCGTCGAGCTAGCCAGCGCGAGCCGAGTCGAGCCTCTTTGTTCCCTCCTCAGGTTAGCTTAGCCTTCCTTGTTCGGCCCGCATCTCCGTCCGCGGCTGCCGAGCGAATCGCGCACGTCGGTGACCTTGGACTCGCCGCCATGGACGCGATCGTCTTGCTCCTCTTAGCCGGTGAGTTGACTTGAGGCCGCCGACGCCGCCGTGTTTTTGTTCCTTGCGAACTCCGAAGAAACGCGACGGCAGCGACGTCGACCTCGCTCGCGGCTAACGTCACCTGGCGACGACGGCGAAGCGAGCTCATTCGGCCTCCAAGATGGCATCTAAGCGCTCCGTTTGTGCAGGAGGCGTGGGAGCTTCTCAGAGGAACGAAAATGTTTTGGTGTCGGGGATCTCGAACGGTGAGCGGTCTCGCGAGCGTCGTCAAACGCGGCCCGTCCGGCCCGTCCTCACCCTGCGCCACTTGCAGCGTGCGGCGACTCGTCGGAGCTTCTGCGAGCGTCCAGCGGGGTCATCGCCAGTCCCGGTTGGCCCTTCCGGTACCCGGCCCTCCTCAACTGCAGCTGGAACATCCGGGGCCGACCCGGCGACCTGGTCACCGTCAGGTAAGCGGTCGCGGCCCGGGTCGCCCGCCGCGGCTCGCCGCCACTGTTCCCGTTTCTTCCCCGCAGCTTCCAGGACTTCGACCTGCACGGATCGCACCCCTGCTCGTCGGACTGGATGTCCATCAGCAGCTACAAGAACCTGGACGGTCTGAGGGTGTGCGGCTCCTCCCTGCCGCCTCCTTACATCTCGTCGCAGGACCACGTCTGGATCCGCTTCCGCTCGGACGAGGCTCTGACGGGAAAGGGCTTCCGGCTGTCCTACGTGACGGGTGAGTTTGGGGGGTTCTCCCAGAGACGCGGCCGACGCGCGCGGCGTCGCCGAGGGCGAAGCCCGTGGAGTGGATTTTTCGGCCGTCTTTCGTTTGTCACCCGAGGCCGTGCGCTCTTTTTGGTGACAGGCCAGCCAGATGTCGCCAGCTGCGACGCGGACCAGTTCCACTGCTCCAACGGGAAGTGCATCCCCGACCGGTGGCGCTGCAACTCCATGGACGAGTGCGGCGACAATTCGGACGAGGACCTGTGCGCCGACTCGCCGTTCTCCTTCCAGCCCTGCGGCCCGGACCAGTTCCCTTGCTTGTCCCGCTACACGCGAATCTACACCTGCTTACCTCGCAGCCTGCGTTGCGACGGCAGCATCGACTGCCAGGTCAGCCCGACCCGGAGCTCGCCCCCCCCCGCCGGCCTCCCCTCTCACGGGCCGCTTCTTTCAGGACCTGGGAGATGAAATCGACTGCCTCGCGCCGACCTGCGGCGAACGCTTCAGGAACTTCTACGGCTCCTTCAGCTCTCCCAACTATCCCGACTTCTACCCCCCGGGAAGCAACTGCACCTGGCTGATTGACACCGGAGACCACAGGAAGGTGCGGGGGGGGGGGGGCTAAAAAGGAAAGCGCACCCCCGCCGCTGCGCTCGCCGGCGCGCCGACGGCTCTGGTTTCTCCCTCAGGTGGTCCTGCGCTTCACGGATTTCAAACTGGACGGCACGGGCTACGGCGACTACGTGAAGGTCTACGACGGTCCGGAGGAGAACCCGCAGCGCCTTCTGCGGGTTCTGACGGCCTTCGACTCGAGGGCGCCGGTCACGGTGGTGTCGTCTTCCGGACAGCTGCGCGTCCATTTCCACGCCGACAAGATCAACGCCGCCAGAGGCTTCAACGTCACCTACCAGGTTCGCCCGCCCGCCCGCTCGCGCCGGGCCGCGGCCGCGCCGGCCGCGCTTCTCAGGTGGCCTTTGCGCTCTCCAGGTGGACGGCTTCTGCCTGCCCTGGGAGGTCCCTTGCGGGGGCAGCTGGGGCTGCTACGGCGAGCGGCAGCGCTGCGACGGCTACTGGCACTGCCCCAACGGCCGCGACGAGTCCAACTGCTCGGCGTGTCGGGAGGACGAGTTCCCCTGTTCCCGAAACGGCGCCTGCTACCCTCGGTCGGACCGCTGCAACTACCAGAACCGCTGCCCCAACGGGTCCGACGAGAAGAATTGCCTCTTCTGCCAGCCCGGAAACTTCCACTGCAAGGTTTTTTTCCTCCGCCGCGTCTCTCAAGCGCGCGTGCGGGCGAACGTCGGGCGGCGCGCCCCCAACCCAAGCCGTGATCTCGTCTGCGCGCAGAACAACCGTTGCGTGTTTGAGTCGTGGGTGTGCGACGCCCAGGACGACTGCGGCGACGGCAGCGACGAGGAGGATTGTCCCGTCGTGGTCCCCACCCGGGTGATCACGGCGGCCGTCATCGGCAGCCTGGTCTGCGGCCTGCTGCTGGTCATCGCGCTGGGGTGCACCTGTAAACTGTACTCGCTGCGCATGTTTGAACGCAGGTGAGCGCCCGCCCGCCCCTCTCGGCGTCGGGCTTTCCGCCCGCACGCCACGAGCCGCCTCCGCCCTTGCCGCAGGTCGTTCGAGACGCAGTTGTCCAGGGTGGAGGCGGAGCTGCTGAGAAGGGAAGCCCCGCCCTCCTACGGCCAGTTGATCGCTCAGGGATTGATCCCGCCCGTGGAGGACTTCCCGATCTGCTCCGGGAGTCAGGTACGTGCGCGCGAGATGCGCCGAGACCGACGCGTGAGCTTCACCTCGCGCTTTTTGCCCCCCCCCCCCCCCCAGGCGTCCGTTCTGGAAAACCTGCGGCTGGCGGTCCGTTCTCAGCTGGGCTTCACCTCGCTCGGCCTCCCTTCCGCCGGTCGCCGCGGCAACCTGTGGCGCGGCCTCTTCAACTTCTCCCGCTCGCGCCGCTCGGGGTCTTTGGCTCTGGTCTCCGCCGACCTGGAGGACGGCGGCGGCGGCGCGGCGAGTTCCGCTTCGGAGCCGCCGTCCCCGGACTCGGACGACGCGGACGCGGAAAGCCAGAGGGACGGGGAGCGGGGCGTCGGGGCGG